AAAATATTAACAAACAATAAGTTCGAGCAGCTCTTTGGCCTATTAAGTGGCTTGTTTTATCAAGACAAACTGGACTAGGTTTATTAGCTCTATTTTGAAGGCCGTAATCAAAAGTATTTATTTTATCATTAATTTCTTCTATCACAGCTAATTTTTCTTGTATTAAAAATTTTAGAAACAACTTAAGTTCAAGTTGACAAATTCCTTCCAGAAAATCGTGCATTATATCTATTGATAAATTTGTTCCAAATTTAAAAAATTTTAAATCATTGAAAACACTACGTAATTTAATTTCATATTCACTGCTATCAGGATGATTACTCGCAAGTTGAATATGATTTTGAAAACTTTCAGGTGTTCTCAAATGATTATCATCTTGTTTGCAATTTACTTTAGTAAACTTTTTATGCATCAAACATATTCTACAAAAAAAGTTAGCTTGAAAAGACTCAACCATGCCATATAGCATTGCCCCTCCTAAATTGTCGTGGCTTAATATTGCTAAAGTTCCTTTTATTGGATATTCGACTCCTTCAATGTGAAAGCTTTCTGTTTCCAAAATTCTTAAATCTTTTACTATTACTTGTAGAACAGAATTTATACCAAAATGTTTTATGTCTTCACTATAACATAAAGCTAACAAATGAATATTATTTAAATTAGAATTGAAATGAGAAGGCAAGTTGCATATTGAAAAATAAAATCCCCCAATTTTATGAGACAAAGTTTTACTACCTAGAGGATTTATAAATTTCAAAGTCGTCGAAAAATATTTCTATTTGAATAGTCAAGTTTTTGGAATTACGAAAAAGTTTATTAGTTTTATACATTTCACCATCAGCCAGATTATTGTATTTGCTACAGTTTAAGGTGTTTTTACTGAAGGAATTAAACAATTTTTTTAAAAGAACTGTTTAGAAATAAAAATTTTAAGGTTTCAATTGTTGGCACGTAAGTAAATGTACAAGTTAAAGGAACAGTTTTATAAATTCTTAATTGCGAATCATACTTTTGTTCCATGCGAACCCCACAACTTTTTTCTATTGGTTTCACCATATGTTGTTTGTACTCTTTATGGCGTTTATGTTTTGTTAAATACATTTCAAAGGAATTAAAATATAATGACACAATTTGCCAACAAATAACGTTTGACTCATCTATATTATCTAAAATTTTTTCGAATACAGGATTTACTAGTTGAGATATACATTGCAATATTTTATCAATCGATGTATGTATGGTATACCAAAAGAATATAAATTTTGTATAAAACTTAACAGGTTATTATTGATATCTTTAGAAATGTCAGCAAGATTGATATGATCTACAAAATTATTCGTACTTATATCTTCATTATTTGTATTGAAATCTTCAAAAATATTTATATTTAACTCATTATTATTATTTATATTTAAATCTTTTTTAATATTGGAACTACAACTAGGCTGAATTTCTGTCAAATCATTTGAATTATCAGTATAGACTGTTTCAATGTTTAGCTTACATTTAGCTAAATGCTTTCTAAATCCCGAGTAAGTTTTAAATATAAAAGGACAATTTGAAAAGCAACATTTTAAATTTAATTTCGAGCATTCATAGAAAGAATGAATGTTTCTTAAATGTTGACATAATTCATTAATTGAATTTCCAACATAAGTACAGTTTGTACACATATAAGGCATCTTGGAGATGAATGTCTCAATTAATAAAAACAAAAAAGTCAATTTCGATTAGTATAAAAAAATTCAGTANATAACCGTAGAATAGTCAAATTCGAGATTATATTTATGTATCTATTTGATTTCGCAGAAGTGTATATACTTCTCTTACGCGTGGAGTTACAGGACCATTGTTCATTTTGTAAAAATATGTTTCTAGAAATCTATAAAAGCTTACCAGATTTGAATCATATTGTGTATTAAAAACAAAATGACTTTTAAATAAAATGTCAAAAGCGTTTACAAAACTTTGTGCATGAAGAAGAATGAACTTGTTGTCTATGTTTAAAAAGTATTGAGCCACAGCTGCTTTGGTAGAACCTACAGCGATTAAACGTGGTTGAGTTTTTTCTCTGAACTCTGATTCTAAAGGTGTGCCGTTCTAAAACAAAACAAAAAAATAAAAAAATATAACATTATATAAGACGTATACACTTTTGACGTAACAAAAATTATTAAATATATTCTATATAATATACCTTTTTAAATAAAATAATTTTTTCCAAAACATTGGTTGATTTTTCTCTTGCAGCTTTGTTTTTTCCTCTAGCTGTTGGAGGAAGAAGTCGACATAATGCTAAAATAGCTCTTGTATGTTTATCCTAAGCTGAAAAATGTCTCACATATTGATAAATATTGAATTTATATTGTTATATAAAACTATATTAACTATATTAAATATATGCATTACTTTCTCCCAATTTATCTACTGAAGGATGTATTTCATGATCAGGCTTGGAAAAAACTCTCAGAATAATTTCACAATATTTAGTAAATTCTTTTAAGAAAAAGTTATCATATTTGGGAAATAAAAGTTTGTATTCTTCTTCAATCTGCAAAAGAAAACCAATAAAGAATTTGTATATATTTTAAGTATATATTATATATATTATGTTATATTTATTGTTTATAGTTTTTGTACATATCTTTCATATTTATATGTTTTTATATTTATAATGTGTTATATTATATACATACTTTATAATTAAAGAATCTCTTCAGGCTCTGAAGTTTCTAAACTAATAAATATATATATTCGGTCATAGGAGCCGTTCGCTAGGTGTTGTGCGGAAATTATACGTGTATATATATCCATATATATACGTGTTCACATGTAAATTTTTACACGTGAAATTCGAATTGAAATAACAATTCTAAAATTCATATTGGATGCTATACTTGCATCTCGTATATGAGAAATCCCAAATACCCC